GAAGAAACTACGACACGCATTTCTTGAGATACTACATCTAAGAAATCCTGAGAACACCGTGCCAGAAGCAGAAATTACAGGAACTCAGCCCCTTCAACCTGGACCGACGTTTTGTAGAACAGACCAGGCTTTCCCGTCAGACGGAAACGAGCAACCAGCTTTGATGTCATTTCGTCAGCAGCCAGTCGAATGCCTCCCTCGCATCGAAGAAGCCAACGGGGAATAGCCCTTAATTTAATGCCATCATGTTGTTCTCATCTGTCAATTAGCAGTGAGTGCGCTGAACCATAAAGAGCAGTGGCGGATCCAGGGGAGGGGGTCCGGGCCTCCCGTTATTTTTAGACCAAACTGACGGCCGTTAGGGCCCAAAAAATTTTTTTGAGACCGCCCTCCCGCCCTCTTTTTTATCGCACGACAACAACAACAATAAGCTTTATTTGCTTGACTATGACAAAGTATTATAGTTTTATCGCAGAAGCTACTTCAATTTAATTTTTCATTCCTTTTTAAATTAAATATTTAAAATAACTAAATATATTAATCATTGGTTATTTTTAACCATCAGTAGGATTAATTATTCCGTAGACAAGTTTGGCTCTCAAATCAAAGCAAGATGACATAAATGAAATTAAATAGATGTTAATGAAATAGTCAGTAGAGCTCATTAGATGTGATAATAAGGTCTCATGTGATTGTAGTCGTAGAAAACGTATTTTAGGTTCTAGTTTAGAGAAGAACATCTGTCTTAATATCGAAGAAAAACTTAGACAATCTAATAAAAAGTGAGTTTCATCTTCAACTCTGATACAATTGCAGAGACTGCATAACCTTTCATCAGGAGCTATATGGTCGTATCTACCTGTCTCAATCCTAAGTTTGTGACTGCTTATTCTCAGTTTCACTAATGTTTTCCTAGAGGGGTTCTTTCTTGTTAGATCTAGGTAGGCAGGGGGGCTATAATTCGTTTTGATTTTGTAACAAAAGTTAAAAGTTTTTGTGAATGTAGAGGGGTATGATTCCATTAAGACATATTTCTTCTGCATGCGATCTACATATTGCTTAATTTTACATTGATTCAGTAAATGACAATTAAAGCCTGGGAAACTATGGTAGTCAGTCATCTTCTTGAGACTGGACTAAAAACTATTTTGACCATTATGATGGAGGTCAACAGATATTATTAAAGAATGCCAACTTTCGCTATAGAATTTTTATCTTTTTCTTGGAGATAGTTTAAGTAATTAAGTATCTTTTTATTTATATCAATGATCAAAGGAATCTTCCAAATTCAGATCTGTATGCAACATTGGATGACTTGTTATGGACTTCTAAATATAAAAGTGTAAATGAGTTTTTTCGATTCCGGAGCTATCCCATGACCAGGGATCGCACGCACCTTGAAAGTCCTTAAATTTTAGAATGAAAATTAAAGGCCTTGGAAGTCCTCGAATGTTAATGTTAACTTTATAGTTTAAGTAGAACTACAAAGAGAAAGGAGCAAACACAGAAAGGCCTTCGGGCTAAAATTACTCGTGTTGTGGAAGAACTAAAAAAGACATAGACTCAAGGCTCTTTTTGCACTGAATTGAGTCATTGAAAAATGGGAAATGTCCGAGTCCTTGAAAGTCCTTGAAAAGTCTTTGATTTTTTTTTTTCAAAAAAGGGTACGAGCCCCGCGTGACTTAAAATCTGATTTCACCAAGGCACCCCAAACTTCACTATTGTAAGGTAAAATCGGTGAGATCATGCCCATTGTGTCAAAAATTTGACTTGCAAGGGAAGGTTTCAATTTACTAAAATCAATGTGGCGTCTTAGACTAAAAAGATGATGAAAGGTTTTTTGTCGAAGATGTTCAAGTGAAATGTAAAATTTCCGGTTGATAAGATACGAATCTCTAAGTATAATCTTGTATAATGTCTACCATTTCATTGGCTATGTGAAAAACATAAAGATTCAGTGTTGTTTGTTCTAAGTTACAATAATCTATGACATTATCATGACCAAATAAGGACATAGCGCACACAACTTTAAAGGAATTATGACATCGTCGATTTAAAAACCTGTCAGACCGTTAAACCACCTACAAATAGCACGTGACGTTATCTTCATGAGATTACCCCTCATTTCATCCATAAAAAAGACAAAAGGTTTCACTTAAAAAACGACCTAACCGGCGATCCCTGTGCTACTCAGATCTCAGGATAATGGTGAACGTGCCTAATTTATTCCTCGCTAGCTTTTTTTTCAGCTCTACCTTTTATCATATCTCTATGACAACGTTATTGCAGTTAAGTGTATTGACACCTGCTGAAGTTCAATTGCAGTTTCTTTCGAGGTCTTTATCGATAATGATCGAGGCGGCACACGCAACAACTGCAAAATAGGGGCGCTTTCCATTTAGTCAAAATTTCCGGAATTTTCGGTTCGGCAGTAAATGGAACACGTTTCGTCGGTTCGTCCCACTAGAAAATTCCCAGAAAAAGTGGAAAATCTAAAAAGGTGGTCCCGTTTTCCCGGTTGGAATTTCCGAACGGAATGTCGTGTTCCATTTACGTTTCTCGTAGTTTGTACCTGTTCCAGGTCCACGATCGGGCAGCGCCACGTACCGGGGTTTACGACCAAATGGAACAACTTTTTACCAATCGGAAATTCCACTTTTGCTACCACCGAAATTTCCGGGTTTTTTTCCTAAATGGAAAGCGCCCCAGGGCCCGCATTTGACGCCAAACGTCATTGTTTCACCTTATTTGCATTAAATTCGGCAGTAAGAAGTTTGTCGTATATGAAACAGGCCTAAATATTTGTGAACATTGTAGACCCTACATGACCGATTTCTTTGTCTCTCGGGTAACCTTAAAAGAGTTTCTATTTTATATTAACTTCAGACTTCATGTATGTTAGTTTCAATTTAAGCCTGTAAAAATACTGCTTTTTTACAAGTTACCTGGTTGTAAAAATACTGCTTTTTTACAGCCAATCTCGTCGAGATCTCGGTTAAATTTTTCAATCAAATGGGATAGCATTAGCTTGCTCAATAATTTTGAGTGCGACGAGAGCGGCATTAGAGCCTGGCGAGCATTCGTTGTGGGTCCAGGTAATTAATTCCGTGGGCTACATTTGAGGGAAGCATGCAATTGCCTGAAGAGTTAGACATTCCAGATCATCCGTCGTATGACGCAAGTAACGCGCCAACGTTCAGATCTGTTAGGCATAGGTACCTGAAAAAAAAAACTCTGCGCATAAAGAGCCTTTCTCTGAGTCACCATCTGAATCCTTTACGAGCGACAAGGATCAGGCTATGATTTTCCTTTTCCCCGAGGAAGGGTGCGGGAAGGCATACAGCCATTTTTGGTATCTTCAAGCACACCTTGATACAGGGCGGCATGAAATGGTTGTAGAACACGAAACTTTGTATGACAAGGCTGGAAAACTGTATGCAAGCAAGCTATCCGAGGGAAATGCGCGAATTCCTATTTTGGAAAGTGATTTTGCAGTTGCAACCGAAGAACCCCGACTTCCTATGGGATGTGCCTTGAAAACAATAAAGAAGAAAGTTCGTTTTACAGACAAGTAGAAACAATTTCTAACAGAGGAGTTTAACAACAGAGAGGAGACAGGACGCAAGAGCGACCCTCAAGAGGATGGCCTTAGTGAAAACATGGAAGGTGTGCGCAGGTTTAAGCCCGATGAGGTTTTGAGTGCACAACAGATAACTGGATTGTTTGGTCGTCTGGCAGCAAAGAAAAAGCAAGTGTTGCGTACAGTTTTAACCAGTGAAGGTGACGGTTTGACCATTGACGAGCTGATTCAAATTTGCAGCGACCTTGAAGTGGACGTGTCTGATCTGCTTTCTAAACGGAGAAAGAAGCCCTTCATTCTGTGACTCGAAACACTAGTGGAAGAGTGCTCTTGTGGACAAAATGCAGACGAAAGGAACTGAATTTGAAAGTTTCTTCTTTTTTTTTACATACATTTTAGCATGTAATCTTGTCCATTTGAATAATCTGGGAAGTGGCCGAGAACTTACGAAGATCATTGACAGAGGATATCAAGCTGTAAGTTACCCATCTCAATAGACCTCTTCCGCTTGTATGCTTTGTTTTCCCAACAAATACAGGTCATGTGATAATTGAGAACTGTTTCTTTTAATTATCTCTCTTATTCAGTGCCTATGAACGCATAGTTAAAAGGGTCGAGTTTTCCTAGTTCCTCTATTGGGAAAACAAAACATACAAGCTAAACAGCTAAAGAGATCTATTCTGATATACGGTATTACTGATTTCCAAAGAGAGAATGTTGTTTGCCGGGGGATGAGGACTAGTAGGGGAGGACCCTGGGAACCATTCTCAGTCACAAACCTTCGATCCTTTGATCCGCATCGCTGACCAAATTGAAAGGATCGAAGCTCTGGGATCGAGCTTGCACCCCTACTCCCCGTCCACGTTCGCGTGCGTGCGGCGTCTTTTAATTTACATGTATCGTAAAATTCCAAAAATAAGGTTCTCCAAATATAAATTGTAAATTGTTCTTGGCTTGGATATAGTCAAAGTTCATGCATGGCTGAGTTTTAGTAACATCTACATCCTCAAGGCGAGTTTCGTAAAAACTTTCTGCAAATTACTGACATAAATTTCCCTCCCAGTATAAGCCTATTTTAGCCAATTTTAAAACAAAAATTTCCCTCCGTATATAGACTTACATTAAAGCCCCTCCAAGAATCAGCCCCTCAAAAAGGGTCTTTGAAAAATATAAGCCCCGGGGCTTATTTTTGGAATGTTACAATATTCTAAAAAAATATTTAAATACGTAGACGCAAAAAAAGCTGATCCTGAATCACACCGTACTAAAGCTTTATAAAAAATAAAAAAATAAAAAAGACAATTTAACGTTTTCTGATACATACGCTGAGGTGGCATCTAGCTATACAGTGTGTAGTACAGACTTGTTTGAATTTGTTAATTAACTATCAAGCTACTCTAAATCGTGTATAGAATTAATTGCCATCTTGTACATTAATATAGTTAAAAGGAGTACAGTCAAACACTGAGGGGGCCATAGAAAGTGTCCACTTTTGCACCGGGTGTCCCTACTGTCCGTAAAGCGGGGTTTGGCTTTTGCGTGACGGTTATGGAAATTTGATCCATGAGAAGTCGACAAGCTGATGTTGTCTGCGTCAGTGATGAAATGAAAACACCAAACTAAATCAAAATCTTTTGCGGGAAGTTCTTGAAGTCAAGCGATGTCTTCAGTATTTAAAAATAGCGTGAAGCGATGTTAACCGGTTGTGGAGACCAAACAAGTGAGGAAAAAATAGGTACGTTTACAGCAAATTTACACATGCAACGACCGGCATGTATGGGTAATTGAGACTTCAGTTTATGTATATATATATATCTACTTTATATCACATTTTCACAGGATTTGTAAAGTTTTAGACGCACATTTAGTGCTTTTTGGCGTCCTTTACACATCATAAGACTGTATTTCAGCTGATTTGCCATTTCTGTGTTTTCATAGAAACGAAATGACTATTTGTCTAATACTATTTGACTGCATGCCGAGGAGAGGTAGTCACAACATAAGATGTCGCCATGTGCAATTTGCTGATATTTTAACTGCTTTGTGAACTCAGAAGGTTAAAGATCCCAGAAAACTAAGACCATAGCTACAAAGACATATCCATTAAGGATCCCTAAATAAAGTTTGGTTGATTTACAGACACTGCCACATGTGTTTTTGTGAAGTTGTTCTAAGCCATGTTTCGCGTTTTGTGCCAAGGACCGTTACTATCGTTCGGTAATTCGCGTCCACTTTTTCCAGGAAAAATATTAGTCGACAAAAACTACTATTTTTACAAAGAAGAAGTCCTATTGTACATATCTCTCGATGCATAGGCCTGCATTTTGCTTTTTGTCCAAATAAGGCTTTTTCGAAAATCGCATAATTTTCGTGTTTGTAACCGTGAAATTTGAACTTTTTAGGTCGAGAACTGTTTTGACTGTTTCCAGCCGTTTAAAAGAATATTTCACAAACCTAGTATCATTTCATTTCATTGCACACCATAGGCTTACTGTACTCAAAAAATGACGGAAATCGATTTTTGACCGTGGCTACGATTTTGGCGATTTTGTTTGATTTTTACAGACATTCACACTCTTAAAACAGTAAATTCAATGTAATTCATTTTGTCAACTAGTTGATGATTCGAGGCTCTTAAAAATAACAGAGAAAATTATCCTAAGAAATGTTTTTGAAGAAAGAAAAAGAATCCCGGGTTAAGCACTAATCGCCTTTGAGCAACTGCGCCCTGTAACTCGCGCCAGTAAAACAAAAAATTCCATTTACACGCCAGACGCACTCTGGCATGATGTCTCCTCCGATTACAAGCACTTGACACCGAACCATACGATATCTTTTGAAAACGTTCTTATAATGATACACAGTTTAAATAGAGGTTTTTTTCGCTGTACGCAACCCTTACGTGCAAAATATGACATAATCATATTAATCTATATCGCAACTACCCTTCCGCCTCAGCTGCTACCTGTATGCCTAACAAACATATCGAACGCACTCTCCTAAGCTCCGATTACTGCTAGTTTATTTAATACTTGAGTCAAAGTTCGCTGTAATGTTACCGTGGATTGGAACAACGTTCTGAATGGTAGTCGGCTTTTCTGAAGCCCTCGAGATGCATTTTTAGTATGATGCCCATTCACGTTAGTTGTCCTAATTAGCATTTCAAAAGTCTCTTAAGACATTGGCGATAATTACTGCTAAAAATAAGACAAATAATCGGGTTGACAGCACAGTTCACATGAGACATGAATATGGTAAAAATAAGAAATATAGAAAAACCGCAACTAGACATGATCTTGGGAAAGAGGGACATTATTATACCTGTCGTGAGGACGGGTACATAAGAGAGTGAAAATGCTAACACGATAGCACATGCCATTCTTAACACTTTCCTGTTTCTTCTTGCGCGCTTTTTCTCAGCATTATTCGACTGTTCACCTGGATATGCTTGTAGTTTGAGCTTGATGACGATGATGGAGTACAGAATCACCAGCAGGACAATAGTGATGACGATGATAATGTAATTTATGATGGGTGCGGCAATGTGCCAGGACGTAATTTCGCCAGAAAACGTGGAACAGATACTGTCTCCATTGAATTCAACTACTTTCACAATGTTCAAAAAAGGAAAATAAAAAGCCAAAGCAATGATCCATGTGGCGGTAATGACGAAGGGAAGCACTTTGCGGCTAATGACTGGGGAACGCAGTGGAAACATCACGGCTACAAAGCGATCTACTGCTATCAGAACTAAGCTCTGACTCGACACACTGTAGGAAACCATTGGTAAGTAAACTACAAGCTTGCACAAAGCTTGGCCAAGAGGGCCGCCAATAAGCCAATGACCAGCAGGAGACGTATTAAGACTTACTAGGCGCCAAGGAATCAAGATTAACGGGAATATCAGGTCGGACATGGCCATGTTCATGATCAAGTAATTTATGGGTTTTCGCAGGCTTGGCGTTTTATAAACAATCACTCCAATGGCAGAATTCCCAGCCAGTGAAACAACAAGGACCATACTTAAACCAATGGTTAGCCCGATGCAGTCTCTGTACTGTTATTCATATTTACCCTCCTCGTTTCTGCTACTCTTTTCTGTAAGGCTTTTAGTGCCTTTGCACAATAGCTGCTTATGCTATGCTTAAATACTGAGAGGCTTTATAACTTTTAGCATCCAAGTAATTTAGGAACCCCAATGTCTTAAAATGACAAATTGAAGATAGGCGTCCACTGTACAATGTAATCGGGCGTAGAAGCGAAATATTGTGTTTTTAGTATTCAGTATTCAAACTGTCAATATTCAGTATTCAAACATCAATATTTAATATTCAAACCTGAATATGCAATATTCAGACTTCCTTATGTATCTTATTTTCATTATTTAAACAATTGTGAGGGTGCTAATGGGGGTACCCAATTCTCAGTTAACTGCTGATTTTTCGGCCAAATACAGTTAACTACTAGTTTTTTGGCCAATTCTCAGTCAACTACTGATTTTGGTTAGCTATTAACTACAGCGAATATTATTCCGTCATAACCCGAATTTTCTTTACTTCAGCACGTGAATCACTTTTGGGGATAGGCCCTAATAAAATCAAGGTATAGATTTACATGAATTTACATAAACTCAGCCACAAATACAATTTATAAGTAACTGAAAATATAGAAAAGAACCGAAGAAGTGAAAATGGGTAAGCGATAGCTATTAAGACCCCTATTAACCGATTTATGCTGTAAGTACAAATTTGATTAAGTCGTATAACCATCAATATGAAACCAGCCTCACAGATCCAGACACACCAGTCATGATCCCGTACTGATCTTCCCGACCTGATCATGCATGTCCTGCCATAAACTACTTCAAAGTCACCTTCTTCGTCACTTTCATTATCTGAATCAATCTCGTACTTTTCTTGTTGCTTTATGTCCTGATGTATCTTGTTGTTGGCCTACGTTTCAATCCATTTTCAATCCTTGCAATCCATTTCAGCAGACGACGGGAAACAATATCAATGCCAAAATATAGTCTTAGATAACAAAACTGGACCATTATTTCTGGAATTCAATTGACGTAAAAAAAAAAAAAAAAAAAAAAAGATAACAAATAGCATGAAATAGTCCCTTGACGCTGGTGGCAAAGATCCCGCTTTATCGCGAGTTGATTCGCTTCTTATAGTTCGTTGACAGCACAAGTCGAAAGTTCTATCCAGTCCCTCATGGCAACTTCATCTTCTTTTGTCAGTGTTTGCACCGATGGGAGGGACACAGTTTAGAGAGCTGACAAAGGTATGAAAGTATTTGACTCGGGAGAATTCTACTATTCGTGAGTGTAGCCCACTTCGAATTCGTCGTTCTTTTAAGCGATTCCTTCACGGTGGTTCCAAATTCTTGGGCGTAGTTCAAAGCACTAAATATTTTGTGTTGAAGTGAGAAACCGCGTGAAGGTTTTCCACCTGCGTTGTCAGAAGTTTTTTTGCACCCTAGTACAGACTTTGTCGACATCCTCTTTCGCGTCCCTCAATGTTACCTTTTTCTTAGACTTCTTAGACCTACCTTATTTCAAAAGCGCATCGCGTATTTCAAAAGCGTCATAAAGATATCCAAGGGTTTTCGGAGATATCAATCACACTGATCTGTGTATGATCTTGTGTTTATTACATTCAGCCAAGGTTTAGAATATCTGATTAGTGACGTACATAATGCAGGTTATCTTCCTCGGCTAACACTTCAAGATGGTAAAGCTTCTCGATAGGTCTCGAGATTAGGTTTCCCTTTGCTGTTCTCAGAGTGACAGAGCGTACCAATCCATCCTTCCCCTGATGTAGCTGAATGATGACTCCGAGTTTCCACTGATTTCGCGGTGTTTCATGATGTATCAGGACAACCTTACCTCGAGCCACACGCTCTCCCGATATGTTTTTGTTCTTCTGCGATGAATGTTGTTCCCTGAGACCGGTTACGTAATCCCTGTCTTGAGTGTTGAGCTCCATTTGTAAGAACGCCTTTTCGATATCTGCCGTGAAGGCTATCTTGTGTGATCTGAAGGTGAGTAACATATTTTGTAGTCTTTGTATGAGGTCAGGCCCTGTATGAAGGCAATCGTTGAGGCTTAATGCCGTAGATGATATTTTTGCTGAAGCGTCGTAAACGATTCTCATAGCTGTTGTGCTTCTTTCCTTGAAGACTGGAAAATGGGGTATGTAGTGTATGACACCTTGATGTGTGTTCGGATCGAGGACTTGTTCTATAAATCCTCTCTTGAGTTGATCGAGCAGTTGGTCGTTGTATTTGTAAATACGCTCTGGATGTTTTCCTTTTAGGGTATGTTGCAGGTTGTTTAGTCTTTTTTTTCGTTAATGTGAAGTTTGTTGGTAGGTTTTGCTTGTTGTCCTTCCATGGGAGTCTTACATTATATCTGCCGGTAACTTTGTTGAATTCAATAGTATCTTGAAAATGTTTCTGGACGTCTGTTGCCTCAGGGTCGTTGCATTCGTCTGGGATTTTGTTTATTTCCCAGAAATTAGTGAGAGTTGCGTTGAGGTCTTTGTTTCTTGTGGGCTGTGCATCAACCATTTGACATAATTTGCTGAGTGTAGTTTCCGTACTGGATTCGTTGTTGGGTACCGGTCCTGAGAGAAGCCATCCACACTTGCTTTGTGTGGCTATCCATCTCTCATCTTGTGATTTCTTTGTGTTTCCCACAATGATCTGGGCGTAGTGGTCGTTTCCGATGAGTATTGATCTATTGTGCGTTCACCTTCCGCGTTTAGTGGATCGGCGAAAGTGAGGGCTTTGAATTCAACAGGAATTTCCGTATGTTGGGTACTTGAGAGTGGTGGGTAGATGATGGGCGTGACTAAAGCTGTTATTTTGACATCTTTACTTGCCGCGTTTATGGTAAGTGTTACGACTTCCTAGGATTTTGGAGTTCCTGTGGTTGAACCAAATGTGGTTACGTCTAGTATTTCGCTCCGAGCTGCTTTCAACTGTAGCGTATTCTTCAGGCATTGCGTAATGAATGTCTTCTGTGATCCGGTATCGATAAGGATGCGCGCTTGGCATCTCGTAGTTGGTCCGCTCGCTGTGACCAGTGCAGTTTGCATTAGTGTATTTGTATGTGTCGTTGTACTTGCCAAGGTTGTCATTGTGGATGTGACGATGTTGTTGTTTTGTGGGTCTTCTTGGTTTTCATGTTTTTTGCTTGAATCCCGATTAGGCTCTTTTGGTTCACAGATCGACGTATGGTGTTTTTGTCGGCAATTTAGACATCGTCCTTTTGAGCGACATTGATATCTTGTGTGGCCTGATCGGAGGCAGTTAAAGCATTTATTTTTCTGCGCCAATATGGTCCGTCTCTCTTTTGTTGTTTTTACTTTCGAGCATTTGTCGTGACGGTGTTTCCCGTCGCAATATATGCATGGTTTTGGCTCGAATCTTCCGTTCGTATTGAAGCTTTTTGGTGAGGGGTGTATTAGGCGCGAATGAGCGTTTGTGAGTAAGGCGCCAACTGTGGATACGAGAACGTCGTCAACGTCTGAGCTTGTGTCGTTTTCTCGCGTAAGTTGACTTTTTTCCCTTGTGTCTATTTCATGACAAAGTGCTGTTCGTAAATCATTTAGGGAACAATCTGCGAGAGGATTTGTTCTTAATATTGTACAACGTAATTGTTCTGTTCTGGGTTTCCGTCGAATGGTTAGATATGTAGTTTTGGAAGGTTGATGTGGACTCTAGGTGATGGTTTGGTTTGGAACGTACTCACCGGATGATGTTCGTCCGTTACAAATTCTTTAATTTTCAGAATCTAATAATAGATATCGTCTTGGAACGTCAATGCTTGATCTGTCTCTTCGCTTATTTCTTCGTCCTTTCCAAGTGCGTTCAAGATCGTGCAATCCATAGCTTTTATTTCGTCCAATCGTCTTGAGAGCCGCTCTGCAATTGCTTTCAGTTCTGTGTTGTTTATAACCTCAGTATCAGCCATAAGTCGTTGCGCGCGTTTGATGTCTTGATTGCAGTGTCCTCTGTACGCCCCTCTGACTGCCTTGTGGTGTTTCACTTCCTCTTTAGACACCAGTTTCGGAGATATCAGTCAGACTGATCTGTGTATGATCTTGTGTTTATTACATTCAGCCAAGGCTTAGAATATCTGATTAGTGACGTACATAATGATGACTAATTACACGTACATAATTTACTGTTAATGTACTGATTTCATTACAAGGGTTTTAAGAAATGAAACTGTTTCACAAAGACCGGTTTAAACACGAGCTTAGTATTCTCAATAGCTACAACTGCAACATCAGTTACAAAAATTATTTCTCGTAAGTACAAATTCCATGTACCCAAAAGAAAGATGCTGATTTCTTTCCCGGGGGGGGATACTTGGGTTAATTTTTGCTGGGTATGTGCCACTGGCCTCTCAGAGCCCCTACCCCATTATAGTCTGGGCATGCAAATGTAATTTTAGTCAATCCAGTCGTGAAAATGCGATCCCATCCAGCGGCCAACGCCATTAGCCTCTTACAAGGAAGTGACTTCTTCTCCTGGGATTTCTTTGAGCCATCAGAATTTCTTTTTGGCCAGATCCAATGCTAAGAGTCACAGCTTTTTTCTTTGGGTAGTACTGTTTAACTTGACGATCTTTTGGGTCCTTGAAAACAGTCTTTTCCTTTCCGAACACCAAAATCTTGTTAATATTAGAGGACGAATTATTCGTTGAGTTGTCTGCAAGCAGCTCTATGACTGACGCTCTCTGTTTGCCGGGTACTGCCGTGGTGCCTTTTGCATATAGTAATATCAGTTAATGTGTCAACGGGTCATCAGCGCCGGGAAAGAAAAAAGGCAGAAAATAGCATTTCTGTTTCCAAACTTTGTTGCTTTCATAACATCAGCGATCAGTATTCAGTATAATTAATAGAGTGTCACTTTACTGTTAACTTTTCATTTCCCAGTTAACTACTAATTTTGAATTATTTTTCTATAAGAGCCACGTCCGTTATTGCAGCCTACCAAGACACAATGGATTCCTTTGCTAAGAGTACTACCTAATGGCAGAGGTCGTTCAGAAAATATTAAATTATAAACAAAACATGCTCCTAGTTACATTGCAATAGACTATTATCTGTTGGTTAATGTTGGTAGAAGAAGGCTTGACCTGCTTACAAACATTGGCCCAGTCTGATGTCGCTAATCCCCAACTGATTTTCATAGTGAGAGTACACATAAAAACAAAATATAAACAGTGTCAAAACATGACAAAACAGTGTTTCGTCAATGTAAATTATATATACAATCCAATAGAAAAGCAGCAGCATTCATGGTTATCTCAGGTTATTTAAGCAAATTTCACATCATCTTCGTATAAGGAATAAATGAATTTTCTATAAAAATAAAGATTCGTTATTGAATTAGTACATTAGTAACAAGATCTAAGGTTAAAGGACAGTGTTACCCCTGGAACAAGTAGTTACCCACAAGCATCTGGGTGTAACATTCTCATCTGATCTATCTTGGAAACATCATGTCCTTGCAATAGCTGCTAAAGCCAACAGGATCTTGGGTCTACTTAAACGCACATTTGGCAGGTGCTCTGAAGCAATAATAACTGGATACAAAACAATGGCTCGTCCTATCATCGAATACGCATGTCCCGTTTGGAATCCACATCAAGCCTACCTGTCAGACAAACTTGAAAGAATCCAAAGAAATGTCTCACGCTGGATCCTTGGTGGACCTATTGATTATACCGAACGTCTGCAATACCTTGGTTGGATGGAACTTAAGTCCCGTAGGGAATATCTATCGAAAATTCAATTATTTAAGTTTATTAATGGTTTCTCGAGAGTTAAGCTTGACAATTATTTATCTTTCTCTCGTGCTAGCACTAGATCAAGAAATAGTAGGAAGATTTGGAAACCTTTTTCAAGAACTAATGTTTTAAAATTCTCTTTCTGGCATAGATATATAGATAAATGGAACTCGTTACCAGATTCTCTAATATGTGCCGATTCATTGTCAAAATTTAAAAAGGGCTTAAGAGAACACTTTTTAACTAGTACGTAATGAACATAAAATTGTTGCGATTGCATATTTAATTTGATAATTAGATAATTTTAATAACTCCATTATTAATAGATATATTTTAGTGATATCTTTTACATTTCCCCTTACATTATAATAGTTTTTATCTGACATATATTTCCTTAATAGCTTTGTAGATATTTTTAGGGGGTCATCTTACATGAGGATTCAGTTCCTCCCTGATGGCAGGCTTTTTGTATTGATTAGTACAAATAAAGTTGTTATAAATATATAAATAAATAAATAAATAAATACATTAATTCATATTCAAACCAAATTTCCAAACATTCAAACTAAATTTTCATATACTCAAACTAATCTAAACGCAATATTCAATATTCTGCTTCCAGAAATATAAAACACTCAAAGAAAGGTTAAACAGCATCTACCTGATTTATTCGATCGTGAACGTGACACAAAGTGTTACTCAGAGACACGAGGACAAGTTAAACTCCTCAAAGCCGAACCACTGCCTTAAGTGCAAGTCCAAAGAATCGAGAAAGGCAGAAGGGCAGCCATCACTCTAGCAATCGTTCTAATTACTTTAGTAATACCTTATTTACCAGCAATAATAATTGCGTTAGTGACTGCTTCCTCAGACAGCATTTTAGTAAAGCCGCGTTTTATAGCCATTACGTGGAGCTGGGTGGGAATTCCAATGATGTTAGGTTTCCTGTGTAATCCTATAGTTTACTGTTCGCGTATGAAGAAACTACGACACGCATTTCTCGAAATACTACATCTAAGAAAACCTGAGAACACCGTGCCAGAAGCAGAAATTACTGGAACTCAGTCCTTTCAACCTGGACCGACGTTTTGTAGAACAGACCAGGCTTTCCTGTCACGCGGAAACAGGCAACCAGTTTTGATGTCATTTCGTCAGCAGCCAGTCGAATGCCTCCCTCGCATCGAAAAAGCCAACGGGGAATAGCCCTTAATTCAATGTCATCATGTTGTTCTCATCCGTCAATTAGCAGTGAGTACGGTGAACTATAAAGAGCAGTGGCGGACCCAGGGGAGGGGCCCGGGCCTCCCCGTTATTTTTAGACCAAACTGACTGCCGAGGGGCACAAAAAAATTTTTTTGAGACCGCCCCCCCCCCCCACCTTTCTTACCTCAACAACAACAACAACAATAAGCTTTATTTGCATGACTATGACAAAGTATTACAGTTTTATTGCAAAAGCTACTTGAATTTAATTTTTGATTCCTTTTTAAATTAAATATTAATCATTGCTTATTTTCAACCATCAGTAGGATTAATTATTCCGTAGAATTCCGTAGAGTTTGTCTCTCAATTCAAAGCAAGATGATATAAAAGAAATTAAATGGATGTTAATAAAATAGTCAGTAGAATTCATTAGATATGATAATAAGGTCTCATGTGATTGTAGTCGTAGAATTCTAGTTTAGAGAAGAACATCTGTCTTATCGAAGAAAAACTTAGACAATCTAATAAAAAGTGAGTTTCATCTTCAATTCTGTTACAATTGCAGAGACTGCATAACCTTTAAGCTGGTGCTATATGGTTGTATCTACCTGTCTCAATCCTAAGTTTGTGACCGCTTATTCTCAGTTTCACTAATGTTTTCCTAGAAGGGTTCTTTCTTGTTAGATCAGAGAGTAGGTAGGCAGGGGGGCTATAATTCGTTTTCATTTTGTAACAAGTTAAAAGTTTTTGTGAATGTTGAAGGGTATGATTGCATTAAGACACATATTTCTTTTGCATATGATCTACATATTGCTTAATTTTACATTCATTCAGTAAATGACAATTAAAGCCTGGGAAATTATGGTAGTCAGTCATCTTCTTGAGACTGGAGTAAAAACTATTTTGACCATTATGATGGAGGTCAACAGATATTTTTAAAGATTGTTTAACTATAGAATTTTTATCTTTTTCTTGGAGATAGTTTAAGTAATCGTAAGTTAATCTTTTTATTTATATCAATGATCAAAGGGAATCTTCCAAACTCAGATCTGCACTCAACATTGGATGACTTGTTATGGACTTCTAAATATCGTTTACAAAAGTGTAAATGAGTTTTTTCGATTCCGGAGCTATCCCATGACCAGGGATCGCACGCACCTTGAAAGTCCTTAAATTTTAGAATGAAAATTAAAGGCCTTGAAAGTCCTTGAATGTTAATGCTAACTTTATAGTTTAAGTAGAACTACAAAGAGAAAGGAGGAAACACAGAAAGGCCTTCGGGCTAAAATTACTCATGTTGTGGAAGAACTAAAAAAGACATAGACTCAAGGCTCTTTTTGCACTGAATGGAGTCCCTGAAAATTGGGAAATGTGCTTGAAAGTCCATGAAAAGTCCTTGAATTTTTTTTCCTAAAAAGGGTACGAACCCCGCATGACTTAAAATCTGATTTCACTATTGTAAGGTAAAATCGGTGAAATCATGCCCATTGTGTCAAAAATTGTACTTGCAAGGGAAGGTTTCAATTTACGAAATTCAGTGTGGCGTCTTGACTAAAAAGAGGATGAAAGGCTTTTTTGTGGAAGATATTCAAGTGAAATGTAAAATTTCCGGATGATGAGATACGAATCTCTAAGTAAGTATAGTCTTGTATAATGTCTATCCTTTCATTGCCTATGGGAAAAACATTAAGATTCAGTGTTGTTTGTTCTAAGTTACAATAATCTATGACATTATCATGACCAAATAAGGACATGGCACACACAACTTTAAAGGAATTATGACATCGTCGATTTACAAACCTGTCAGACCGTTAAACCACCTACAAATAGCACGTGACGTTATCTTCATGAGATTACCCCGCATTTCATCCATGAGATATAAAAGACAAAAGGTTTCACTTAAGAAACGACCTAACCGGCGATCCCTGTACTACTCAGATCTCAGGATAATGGTGAACGTCCTTTTTTTCAATTCTACCTTTTATCATATTTATATATAACTTTATTGCAGTTAGCGGTGTACTGACACCTGCTGAAGTTCAATTACAGTTTCTTTCTAGCTGTTTATCGATAATGATCGAGGAGGCACACGCACTAATTGGAAAACAGGGCCCGCATTTGACACCAAACGCCACTGTTTCACCTCATTAGCATTAAATTCGGCAGTAAGAAGTTTGTCGTATATGAAACAGGCCTAAATATTTGGGAACATTGTAGACCCTACATGACCGATTTCTTTGTCTCTCAGGTAACTTTAAAAGAATTTCTATTTTATATTAACTTCAGACGTTATGTATGTTAGTTTCAATTTAAGCCCTTTAACTTAATTGATAGTGGTACGTCGTGGATTTAGAGCCAAGCAAATGCCACTTTCGCTCTTTTTTGGCACTGTCGTGCGAACAGCATTTTAACAGTATGTATCGAATTAGGTTTTACTGACTCGCTTTTCGATCTCTTATTCGTACTAACATTGCTTAATCATGTCTGAGTCAGCTCACGTGGTCTTAACAACAATCAACGTCATCTATATTATTGCATGCATTGTGGGAAACTGCCTCGTTTGGGCTACAGTGATGAAACAGGTGCACCCAACAACTGCTTTTCCAATTCTGTAAAATATCTGTTCGGAATAGCAAATATTGCCTAGAATTTTCTATTACTTGAGGAAGGCTACAAGTTTCTAGATGACCGCTACATTTGTGTACAATTTTCAAAACCTATCTAACATATTTCCTACGATTCTCTGAAGCTGAGTTCTTCACATTTCACTCCCCAAGTAATGCTGTTTTTCCTAGAAACATAGGCACGTTTACCAACATCCAGCATGGGGAATGCGAAGGTAGACAAATCGTCTTGAATAGTATAGGATGATCTAACTGTGACGCGTAAAGACTTCTAGATCTAAAGAAACAGTATCTAATTTTGACACGTAGAGAGCTTTGTAGCCAAATGCTCTATCGCCTTTAGAAAAGAGCCACGTTAACGTTTCTACCAACTACTGGGTGATTCTTCATATATCTGACAGACTGTCTTAATATCATTTTGTCGCGCTAACTCATGATTAGACTCCTTACAGTCAGTAATGAACTTCGGATATGCCTTTTTTTTCTTTTAATTTTGTTGCCCAAACTCATAACTAAGGTTTTAAGTTTTATTATATCGTAAATACTTTTGTTCTTTGGCCATCGTGATTGATACGAAATGACACGCAAACGAGAACAGAGAGGGAAAAAATAGCTTTTAACTTAACGTTTCGTATGCTTCAACACACATCTTCAGAAGTAATCTTTAATGGAATATGTAAGAACAAAATTTAAACGTAACAAAAAAGGGAACAACAAAAGTGACAGATGGCGGGAAAATTTCTATGTAAATTACCGTAAATGACCTAATAGATGCCCACTTCCAAATAAACGCCTCCTCTACGCTAGGCGCTGTTAAAACTGTATTAGACGTCCCTCTCTAGAAAACGCCCCCTGTGTAATAGACGCCCCCCTAAGAAAATTACTCCAAAATACTAGGAATTAGCCAGCTGTTAGTTAAAATCATTCAATCGCTGGATCCCTAAAATTATATAATAGACGCTGCGATCTACATAATTCTTCACATCCTACTCAGCCTCATTCAATAATTGCGTTGATTAGGTCATTTACGGTACAGACTCAAGCTATTATCTAATAGAGATAAGCTTTTCCTTTTTCATTAGGGGTAAGTTTTAAATTCCTAATTAACAGTGTCTCTTTATATATAAATGTTGAATTGGATATCTGACTGTCATTAGCCAAAATGTCAAAGCGGTTCCATTTTGGGTTGTGACCAGTGTTGTTTTAGGTTTTGTGTGTGTGTGTGTATCAAGTTACATCAAGAGAGAATGAGCTAGATCATTCTCTCTTGGTTACATTCATTGCATTAACTGTAATCAGCTCCAAAGTTCCTGCTGTAATGGCATGCATATGTTCCTGTTATCATGTTACGTTTAACCCAGGATTAAGCAACATTTTAAACAAGGTTTTCTTGTCTAACAACATGCAACTCGAGTTTTCAAAATACTGTTGAGCCTTTACTCCGAGATACGGAAATGATAACACAAAATGTTACTCTAAGCACAGGAATATTGTAAATTACAAAAACAGAACCAAATTTTAATCCTGGATTATTGCTAAGGGGCCTTTTATAACAATTTATAGGCTAGGTCTGCCTTGATGCCGTACACGGAGCAATAAATTCTAAATTGATTTGTTTTCGATTTCGTCTAGATCACGTGAATAGCAGCCAAACCCTTCAGTCATGTCTGATACAGCTGATGTTGCCATAACAACATCAAATGTCATATTAATTATCACCTGCATCGTGGGAAACTTTTTCGTTTGTGTTGTAGTGATGAAAAATCGCGAAATGAGGTAAGGCGCTTGTTAATCTAAATACTTCCTCAAATTGATAATTTCACTGCTGGGCATGCGCAATGCTGTCCCCTTTCCTTTTATTTGATCTGTGTCGGGATACCGTACGATACGGATAAAAACCTGAGCACCCCTTGATCTTTAAGTAAAGGGGGGGGCGGCCTCGAAAATGTTTTTTCTTGCCCCTACGGCCTAACTTTGGTCTAAGAACAAGGGTAGGGGGGGAGAGGCCCCTAGCCCCACCTCGTTTTTGCATGGTAGAACAACTTCCATTTCACTTTGCTCCGCAGAAGATGCGGAAGAGTCTCCTACACGGCCGTTTTCACGGTCGTCACGCAATGCTGGTGAGGAGCGTTGCGTGACGACACTAGAAACTGCTGTGTAGCTATGACTAATACAAGAACAGAACAGGTGAGTTTTTATCTCTCATTTAATTTCCATTTGCAGTTGACCATTTAAAAGTGTGAGTTCCCTATGCCCCATCACATTTTTCCTTAAGTCAAATGCAGGTTGTTTACATAAAAAGGTATACATGTTAAAGCGAGCTCTGGACTTTCAAAGTTTATCGAAACTCGCTTATTGAATATCAATCGTGCTTGATGAATTAGCGGAGACACCGACATTAGGAGAAGCATAACACTCGATCAGGCACAAATTTAATGATACAGATACAAACAAAAGCAAAAACTCTGGGCCCCTTTGGGGAACAACTGTAAGCTAGGATGCTAACTCAGGAAACCTTGTACCGTAATTTACTTGCCTTATTACTCTATTTCTATCAAGTTTTTACATATATTTGAAACTCCCGGTGAAGCTTTGTGTTCTCGAAGCGTCGCCGCTTATTTGCCCTCTCGCCAATGAGGCTATGAGATGAACTTGTGTGCGAAATTCGTAAAGTTCCTGTTTTTCGTCGGACGGGTCTTCTTTACAATCCTAATCTGAAATTTAGACCTTCAAAGAGGCCTTTCAGAGGAAGAAATCCATCTTTAAACACACTCTGCGAAGATGGACAAAAATTTTATAAACTGGGCACAGGGAGCTCAGTTAATAATATATAAAGCTATGGGTTGAACATCAAGCCTTTTTTGCGAATCTTCTGCCATTTCTAAAAGACAGCGACAACGTTTGAGTGATGTAGCTTTAGGCAGATCTTCAGAAACTATGATCACACGCCTTTTCTTCCCGTAGTAGTCAGCCGTATGTAATTTGAGAACGGTTACCTACGAGTTGGCTCAAGGATCCATTTGAGGATATCACTAACTGATTGGACACATTATCCCACAGGATTCCCATCAACTACCTGCTAACTGACTGGACACATTATCCCACAGGATTCCCATCAACTACCTGCTAACTGACTGGACACATTATCCCACAGGATTCCCATCAACTACCTGCTAACTGACTGGACACATTATCCCACAGGATTCCCATCAACTACCTGCTAACTGACTGGACACATTATCCCACAGGATTCCCATCAACTACCTGCTAACTGACTGAACACATTATCCCACAGGATTCCCATCAACTACCTGCTAACTGACTGAACACATTATCCCACAGGACTCCCATCAACTATCTACTGGTGAACCTGGCAACAGCAGACATCTGCTACGCCACATTCATAATCCCGACGATTATCTTGAGCCACAACGTTGGCCATCCAGAGGGGATTTTTGGAACATTTCTGTGTGCAGTTATAACCGGGGGAGGTTTCGGGGGAAGTTTCGCGTGGATTGGAGGATTTGCGTCAATGTTTACACTGCTGGTCATTGCGTTTGAACGATACTTTGCCGTAGTACATCCCCATGGAAACAGAGGAAAGCTAACTTTACAGAGATTGAAGGTTTGATACTTTGAAATACTATGTGGCATTATCAGCAAATTATATTCCTGTACGAACTTAGATCAGTTTCCACGATGACAGCTCTCTCTCCCGAAGAGGCTACCGTTAAGTATTCCAGTAAAAATAGAAATAATGGAAAAGTAGCAAGCGCGCAGGGGACGATGGGAAGAGAGAAAACGAGGGAGGCCTTGCTTCCGCTTCCTTTCGTCCTTTCATTTTCCCTAACCCCAGCCTCCCCTCCATACGACACAAAGAGGACTCTGCGGAGGAGAGAGCGACGACAGAGTCGGCTTCTTGGTCTGTGATTCACCTTTCTCAATTCTTTTATGTCTCCTTAGGTGATTATTCCTGGAATCTGGATCCTTGCACTAATAGTTAACATTCCATTATTTATGAAGCGGAGCCGCTTTGTTGAAGAGGATAGTTCCACCCCTTGCATTTTTTTGTTGTCCAAAGAAAGCATAAGAAAATACCGCACGGTTTATCTCTCAATCAATTGCCTCGTCATGATCCTGCTGGTCTTGATCTACTCCAGAATTGTGTACACATTGTGGTTCAAGCAAAGTGGTAATGCCGTACTCACAAATCAGGTAGGACCCTTCGCTTTATGCAAGGTAATATCAAGACAGTCTTGGATTCTGGATTCTGGATTCCAGGTACTGAACTCCGGATTCCAATCAGTAGTGGGATTCCGTATTCCTTGAGCTGGATTGACTCTAAAGCCCAAGTAAACAAATTCCACAAGCAAAAAAATTTCCTGGATTTCAGAATCTGTATTCCCTTACATGGGGCCAAAACCCTTATCAGGACAAATTATTCGTCTGAGGACTACTCATAATAGTTTTAATAGTTTTATATGGAGAAAGTTCCGCTCCGAGGTCCAACCCTTCACCCTCTGACAGAAAAAGGTACCCCTTTCGTATACCCTCCATTGAAAAATATAACCCCTCTAAAATACCTAATAAGAATAAATTACTGAAACTGGCCTATTTTACTCAATGGCGAGCTTGACTGGATAGTTCTGAGACCCGAAAAAAAATCTTAAGTGAGACGCGCCTGTTAACGTCTGGTGTTAAAATAAAGAGTTTAAGTTGGCTGAAGGTCGGACGCCGAGCCGTTACGTCCTACGCGTACTCAGTTATCAGCTCAATTTTTGGAAAATTGACGGGTACCGGTTTCTACCCATAACCAAGTTATCAATGAAATTCTTTGGATCGCAGATACAGTTTTTTCTTAACTAACGCGAGAGTTGAAAATGGTTTGTTCTTATGTTGGTGTTTGGGTTGGCCAAATTGGCCTGGTAAGGGACGTTAGGTTCTGTCTGTTTATCTACGTTTAGTGGATTCGCAAAAAAATAGATAAACAAATAAATATCAGCTGTGTGATCAGTCATCCTCGGACACCTAGGGGCAGTCAGTCGGCTCGGAAGAAAGGCACAACGAAAGTTTTTAAGAGTTAGCAGTTCAGACCTCTCAGTCATAATACATACGTTAACAAGACCAAAATGGTCATTTATTCTTATGTATTCTAAACGACACTGCTCATATCAAAGATCAGCCTTAAATCTTCAGTCTTCAGATTACTTCTGATTTAACCCTTATGGGTAGCAACTCTTTTTTTTTCGGCACAAGTTACATTACTAACTTTGTTTATTCACTGTTTTCTCAACCAATCGCGTGAGATCTTCCGAGAGCTGCAAGGTCGCACAGCTATATTGTAAGCTTGGGTGACCTGTGGCTTATCAATCGTTTTGTACACAGGGTGTATTGAGGTTGAGGAAGCGAGTGACCTTGATGGTTGTAACCGTGAGCGCCATTCTTGTAATATCTTGGGGAGCAGATGCGATACTCCATCTGTTAGACGAACATGCTGCTGACTCCGTGAAACTGAGTCCTTTAGCTATTCCTATCGCGCACACGATGCTGTTGTTCAACTCAGCTATCAATCCATTTGCGTACGCTCTGCTGAACCAAAGATTCAGGAAAAAGATGAGGCAGATGATACGATCACGTTCCTTTGCAACAAGGATTGGTGCTATGTTCATGAGACGGGGTGAATCACAGGACAACGACACTGGTCACACCACTGGAAGCATTCAAATGACACAGCAAGACCAACTGCGTGAAAGGGCGGAGACAATTTCGCGGGAAAATGTATTATGACAGTATCAGGCGAGTCCTGGTGCCTATCATTTCATTAGAAAATAAGTTTTATTCAGTCACAAATTTTAAAAACTCATTTTCGTATGAACGGTTTGTGCAACAGTCCGCCTCGCTTTGATAAAGAGGCTTGGCAATTCGAAAATGGGTTATTGACACCGCTGTTGTGGTCACCCTGCCTTATTAATTTAAAAAGAAAATGTTTTCTTACGAAAAAAATCAACTCTCATAGGATTGCCTTGGAACACCAACATAATAGGTAGCTTATAGCAACGAAGACAGAGATGGCATTGGAGCGTCAAAGAAGCAATAGATTTTGTAAGCAAAACGGTACATATCTTTGACGTCAATGCACAACTACGACGTGAAATACCCGTATACGACGATTTATGAAGGACGTAAACAAGTGACAACGAAGGTTCTTTTTCTCCTGATTTTAAACTTGGTTACCACCCCACATAATTCACCTAAATTTGAGATTTGATTTCCAGTGTAAATACCAAAAAGTTGATAAAACTCTGCCGTCTTTTTCTGTCGTCGATACAAAAGCTTCCTATTGATCTGGCCGACGTGACGTCACGCTGACGTCACGCCCGGTAAGCGCTTTGTATGAAATCCATACAAACTTTATAAGAAACTGTGATGCTATATAGGTAAGGAGGGAAGAGGGGTGGGAAAGGAAAAAGCAAAAAGAACTGTTTTATCAATTGCTTTACGACCTTAATAAGACTAGAGCGTCAGCCCTTGTTTGTAAATAGCCCTATCTAAGGACAATGGGGTCAAACAAGCTTTTAGAAACTGTCACTATAACGATGGGATTGCATCATACTGTAAATTCGTTTTCTCCTTTGTATACTCTCTCATATAATTTAATACTATAATGATATAACATAACACTCTTATATACAATTGTCTGATCGTACCACACATGAAAATTAACTTTTGAAGTACATCAAGTGACAACACGACACCAAAAGAACCCAAACAGAGCAGGTTTGTAGCCGTATTTGTAGCTATATTTTGGCTGATCAAGTCTCTTTAGATCCCACGTTCTTCGACATATTCGTCTGGGGTTCTTTGCAGTTCGTGTCTATGTAGACCTATGTATTTGTACATAACAGAATTCTCTTTAGGTGTCCAGCCAAGATAAGAACAAGCTATCTGCGGGCCCATGCACTTCAGTGAAAAAGAAGAATCAAGAGAAATAAAGATTTGTGTTGTTGTTCCTTTTATTGTACCGTTGTCGTTTCGAGCCAAAATTGCCCTCAAATTACTGCGCTTTTCACAAACTTGTGAATTCTGAAGTTCAAAAGCCAACTGACGATTGCGTTTTTGGCTGCCGTCAATCATCTTAACGGACCTCTTAGGAAACAAAACTTTACTTTAACGGGTTCAAAACGTCATGGTTTGTGATTTGTGATTTGTGGATTTCGATCCGTTTTGTGTGTTTCTGTGTTTCAGGGTTCGTTGCTTGTGATCGTAATTATGATTGACGGCAGCGAAAAACGCAATTGCGAAGGCGGCTTTTGAAGTTTAGAGTTCGCATGTTTGTGAAAAGCGCAGTAAAAAAAAATACCGTCTTCGTCTGCTAATTTACATTAAGTATAAATTTTGCCGTCTGTGCCATAAGCAAAAAAAGCGAGCTCACAGAACTGGATCGTCTTGTTAAGGTAATTTTAAAAAAATAAACAATATTTCATAATTTCTTCGTAGGTTTTTGGTTTTATACTTGTGTTGCGTACGAGATTAAGTTTACATTATTACGGCACCCACTTTTTTTCCACTACAAGAGTCTTTTTCATCTTGGAAAACATGTTATGATTAGAAATTGTTTTACGCAAGATGCTAATTACAAAACTGCTCGTTTAACTTAATAAGTTGCTTGCTTGAAGCCAATTAAAACAACGAACGCTTCATTCTAAGAGAATTCCACCATCCGCGTTCCCTTCACAAAAGTTTGAACAGCGTGAAATTTGCGAACGATCAGTTCAACGCGAGACGTTCTTACATTCCCTGGATCGTATTGCGCATGCACCCTTGATTACGAAAATTGCCTACAATGAAGAAATACCCCCGCTGTCTTGTTATCAATGTGAAGTCATTTCGCCCTGGTATTTTGTTCTCGAAGATTTGTGTATGTGCCGGTGAAAAAATGAACTCAAAATCTATTCCCGTGTCTCTGAGATAATTTTGAAAATAAAAAAGTATATCTCGTAAGATCCTCTTTTGTCTTTCATTCTTACCTTGTCGATTGCGTCGTAGATTTAGATGCACGCAAGTAAACTTTAGGTCTTATTATCGTTAATTCACGACCGTGGAATATCACCTGCTTCAAAGCTTTTAACTTCCTATTTTTGACGACCCATTGTCGCTAATATATTTTTCCATTGTTACTATTTATAGCCATTTCAAATAACTTTGACGGAAAGCTTCCGCGGTAAGATCGCACCGCCGGGTAACTCCATAAAAATTTCCCAAACTCAACCATGAAGAAACTACCCTGTTGTAAAATCACAAAGGCAAAGGTTTGTGAGGGTTTAGACAATTCTGATAGACTGACAACGTAACAGTTGAACAGTTAAACTAAATAACAAAAGATTTACCGCTACCCCAGCTATATGACCTTCGCTATCTACTCTTGCCTTGTATGTCTACACTATAGATGGTTTTCACTGTGACGTCATCAAATTGCAAAGTCAAAGTAGCGACCTTTTACGAATTCTTATTTATACTAGGCTGAAGATAAACAAAAAGTAAATCTTTGTACAAGTTTCCATTTCCGTAGCATGTTTCATTTCGAAAATACAGGAATTTGAACTTCCGAGTTTTCACTGTGCGCACCAAGATAGGAATGCTGTCTCGTTAAAAAAAAGTCTCTCCTCTTAATTTTCAGCAGTATAACCACTTCAAGTATTAGAAGATATGTTTATGCGTACGTATGCTAGATATCGAGTGAAAGGAAAGAGCTTTTATAGAAAAAGTGAACTTCAGATGTTTTTGTTGATTTCCGGCGGCCATATTGGTGCACCAAAACGGTGCACCAATATAGCGTCTCCATACAAAGCTCTACAAAGGAGCGTGAAACGTTTTCGGCAAATAACTCAGAAACTGTGACCCACAAAGACCTGACACTTAGACAAATTGTTTATATATTAGTCTTTTATGACATTTTAGGCAGATCTCCAGAAACTATGATCACACGCCTTTTCTTCCCGTAGTAGTCAGCCGTATGTAATTTGTCTAGCAGGGACGGATTTGTTTACTGGCCTTGTTGTTCTACCGCTTGCCTTCTCGCTAGACTTGAAGCGCCTTCTTGGTGTTGGGCCATTTTGTTCGCCAGAAAAAGTACTGAATGTGATAATAACGATATCAATTTTTGCTTCGTTGGGTCATTTGGTCGTGATCAGCATTGATCGCTTTATAGCTATCAAATACCCTCTAAGGTACTTGGATATTGTCACAGAAGAGAGAATAATTATCAGTATTATTCTAGCCTGGGCCATTGCTTTGATGATGGCAATCAGTGAACTTGTTCTGGCTCTAATAGGCAGTAAAAGCGTCTACCTGATTTATTCGGTCGTGAACTCTGTGACACAAAGTGTTACAGGAATTCTTTTCATTATTACTATTTCATTGTGTTATGGTTACATTTACTCAGAGACACGAAGACAACTTAAACGCCTCAAAACCGAACAACTGCCCCAAGAGCAAGTCCAAAGAATCAAGAAAGACAGAAGGGCAGCTATCACTCTAGCAATCGTTCTATTTTCTTTAGTAATAACTTATTTACCAGCAATAATAGTTTCCTTAGTGACTGCCTCTTCAGATAGCATTTTAGTAGAGCCGCGTTTTATAGCATTACTTTTAGCTGGGTGGGAATTCCAATGATGTTAGGTTCCCTGTGTAATCCTATCATTTACTGTTGGCGTATGAAGAAACTACGACACGCATTTCTCGAGATACTACATCTAAGAAAACCTGAGAACACCGTGCCAGAAGCAGAAATTACAGGAACTCAGCCCATTCAACCTGGACCGACGTTTTGTAGAACAGACCAGGCTTTCCTGTCACGGGGAAACGGGCAACCAGTTTTGATGTCATTTTGCGAGCAGCCAGTCGAATGCCTCCCTCGCATCGAAGAAGTCAACGGGGAATAGCCCTTAATTCAATGCCATCATGTTGTTCTCATCCATCAATTAGCAGTGAGTGAGCTGAACCATAAAGAGCAGTGGCGGACCCAGTAGAGGGGCCCGGGGGGCCGGGCCTCCCCGTTATTTTTAGACCAAACTAACGGCCGAAGGGCCCAAAAAAATTTTTTTGAGACCGCCCCCTCTCTTATCGCACGACAACAACAACAATAAGCTTTATTTGCTTGACTGTGACAAAGTATTATAGTTTTATCGCAAAAGCTACTTGAATTTAATTTTTCATTCCTCTTTAAATTAAATATTTAAAATAACTTTAAATATATTAATCATTGGTTATTTTTAACCATGAGTAGGATTAATTATTCCGTAGACAAGGTTGTCTCTCAAATCAAAGCAAGATGATATAAATGAAATTAAATAGATGTTAATGAAATAGACAGTAGAGCTCATTAGATGTGATAATAAGGTCTCATGTGATTGTAGTCGTAGAAAACGTATGTTAGGTTCTAGTTTAGAGAAGAACATCTGTCTTATATCGAAGAAAAACTTAGACAATCTAATAAAAAGTGAGTTTCATCTTCAATTCTGATGCAGTTGCAGAGACTGCATAACCCTTCATCAGAAGCTATATGGTCGTATCTACTTGTCTCAATCTTAAGTTTGTGACTGCTTATTCTCAGTTTCACTGATGTTTTCCTAGAAGGGTTCTTTCTTGTTAGATCTAGGTAGGCAGGGGGGCTATAATTCGTTTGATATTGTAACAAAAGTTAAAAGTTTTTGTGAATGTTGAGGGGTATGATTCAATTAAGACACATATTTCTTTTGCATGCGATCTACATATTGCTTAATTTTACATTCATTCAGTAATGACAATTAAAGCCTGGGAAATTATAATAGTCAGTCATCTTCTTGAGACTGGAGTAAAAACTATTTTGACCATTATGATGGAGGTCAACAGATATTTTTAAAGAATGCCAACTTTCGCTATAGAATTTTCATCTTTTTCTTGGAGATAGTTTAAGTAATTAAGTATCTTTTTTTATATCAATGATCAAAGGGAATCTTCCAAATTCAGATCAGTGTAAATGAGTTTTTTCGATTCCGGAGCTATCCCATGACCAGGGATCGCACGCACCTTGAAAGTCCTTAAATTTTAGAATGAAAATTAAAGGCCTTGGAAGTCCTCGAATGTTAATGTTAACTTTATAGTTTAAGTAGAACTACAAAGAGAAAGGAGCAAACACAGAAAGGCCTTCGGGCTAAAATTACTCATGTTGTGGAAGAACTAAAAAAGACATAGACTCAAGGCTCTTTTTGCACTGAATTGAGTCATTGAAAAATGGGAAATGTCCGAGTCCTTGAAAGTCCTTGAAAAGTCTTGATTTTTTTTTTCAAAAAAGGGTACGAGCCCCGCATGACTTAAAATCTGATTTCACCAAGGCACCCCAAACTTCACTATTGTAAGGTAAAATCGGTGAGATCATGCCCATTGTGTCAAAAATTTGACTTGCAAGGGAAGGTTTCAATTTACTAAAATCAATGTGGCGTCTTAGACTAAAAAGACGATGAAAGGCTTTTTATCGAAGATGTTCAAGTGAAATGTAAAATTTCCGGTTGATAAGATGCGAATCTCTAAGTATAATCTTGTATAATGTCTATCATTTCATTGCCTATGGGAAAAACATAAAGATTCAGTGTTGTTTGTTCTAAGTTACAATAATCTATGACATTATCATGACCAAATAAGGACATAGCGCACACAACTTTAAAGGAATTATGACATCGTCGATTTAAAAACCTGTCAGACCGTTAAACCACCTACAAATAGCACGTGACGTTATCTTCATGAGATTACCCCACATTTCATCCATATAAAAGACAAAAGGTTTCACTTAAAAAACGACCTAACCAGCGTTCCCTGTGCTACTCAGATCTCAGGATAATGGTGAACGTGCCTAATTTATTCCTCGCTAGCTTTTTTTTCAGCTCTACCTTTTATCATATCTCTATGACAACGTTATTGCAGTTAAGTGTTTTGACACCTGCTGAAGTTCAATTGCAGTTTCTTTCTAGGTCTTTATCGATAATGATCGAGGCGGCACACGCACTAACTGGAAAACAGGGGCGCTTTCCATTTAGTCAAAATTTCCGGAATTTTCGGTTCGGCAGTAAATGGAACACGTTTCGTCGGTTTGTCCCACTAGAAAATTCCCAGAAAAAGTGGAAAATCTAAAAAGGTGGTCCCGTTTTCCCGGTTGGAATTTCCGAACGGAATGTCGTGTTCCATTTACGTTTCTCGTAGTTTGTACCAGTTCCAGGTCCACGGTCGGGCACCGCCACGTACCGGGGTTTACGACCAAATGGAACAACTTTTTACCAATCGGAAATTCCACTTTTGCTACCACCGAAATTTCCGGGTTTTTTTCCTAAATGGAAAGCGCCCCAGGGCCCGCATTTGACGCCAAACGTCATTGTTTCACCTTATTTGCATTAAATTCGGCAGTAAGAAGTTTGTCGTATATGAAACAGGCCTAAATATTTGTGAACATTGTAGACCCTACATGACCGATTTCTTTGTCTCTCGGGTAACTTTAAAAGAGTTTCTATTTTATATTAACTTCAGATTTCATGTATGTTAGTTTCAATTTAAGCCTGTAAAAATACTGCTTTTTTACAAGTTACCTGGTTGTAAAAATACTGCTTTTTTACAGCCGATCTCGGTTAAATTTTTCAATCAAATGGGATGGCATTAGCTTGCTCAATAATTTTGAGTGCGACGAGAACGGCATTAGAGCCTGGCGAGCATTCGATGTGGGTCCAGGTAATTAATTCCGTGGGCTACATTTGAGGGAAGCTTGCAATTGCCTGAAGGGTTAGACATTCCAGATCCTCCGTCGTATGACGCAAGTAACGCGCCAACGTTCAGATCTGTTAGGCATAGGTACCTGAAAAAAAAACTCTGCGCATAAAGAGCCTTTCTCTGAGTCACCATCTGAATCCTTTACAAGCGACAAGGATCAGGCTATGATTTTCCCTTTCCCCGAGGAAGGGTGCGGAAAGGCATACAGCCATTTTTGGTATCTTCAGGCACACCTTGATACAGGGCGGCATGAAATGGTTGTAGAACACGAAACTTTGTATGACAAGGCTGGAAAACTGTATGCAAGCAAGCTATCCGAGGGAAATGCGCGAATTCCTATTTTGGAAAGTGATTTTGCAGTTGCAACCGAAGAACCCCGACTTCCTATGGGATGTGCCTTGAAAACAATAAAGAAGAAAGTTCGTTTTACAGACAAGCAGAAACAATTTCTAACAGAGGAGTTTAACAACGGAGAGGAGACAGGACGCAAGAGCGACCCTCAAGAGGTTTCCAAGGCGATGGCCTTAGTGAAAACAGGGAAGGTGTGCGCAGGTTTAAGCCCGATGAGGTTTTGAGTGCACAACAGATAACTGGATTGTTTGGTCGTCTGGCAGCAAAGAAAAAGCAAGTGTTGCGTACAGTTTTAACCAGTGAAGGTGACGGTGGCGACGTTGCAGCTGAAATGGAAATTTATCAGTCTGATCTGTGTACAAAGGTTCTACAAGAAATTTCTCTAAAACATCCAGTTGTATCGGGCACCTTTAACGTATGTGATCTAGTTCGTTCGGACAAATTAAAAAGGTTGACCATTGACGAGCTGATTCAAATTTGCGACCTTGAAGTGGACGTGTCTGATCTGCTTTCTAAACGGAGAAAGAAGCCCTTCATTCAGTGACTCGAAACACTAGTGGAAGAGTGCTCTTGTGGACAAAATGCAGACGAAAGGAACTGAATTCGAAAGTTTCTTTTTTTTTACATACATTTTAGCATGTAATCTTGTCCATTTGAATAATCTGGGAAGTGGCCGAGAACTTACGAAGATCATTGACAGAGGATATCAAGCTGTAAGTTACCCATGTCAATAGACCTCTTCCGCTTGTATGCTTTGTTTTCCCAACAAATACAGGTCATGTGATAATTGAGAACTGTTTCTTTTAAATGTCTCTGTTATTCAGTGCCTATGAACGCATAGTTAAAAGGGTCAAGTTTCCCTAGTTCCTCTATTGGGAAAACAAAACATACAAGCTAAACAGCTAAAGAGATCTATTCTGATATACGGTATCACTGATTTCCAAAGAGAGAATGTTGTTTGCCGGGGGATGAGGACTAGTAGGGGAGGACCCTGGGAACCATTCTCAGTCACAAACCTTCGATCCTTTGATCCGCATCGCTGACCAAATTGAAAGGATCGAAGCTCTGGGAACGAGCTTGCACCCCTACTCCCCGTCCACGTTCGAGTGCTGCGGCGTCTTTTAATTTACATGTATCGTAAAATTCCAAAAATAAGGTTCTCCAAATATAAATTGTAAATTGTTCTTGGCTTGGATATAGGCAAAGTTCATGCATGGCTGAGTTTTAGTAACATCTACATCCTCAAGGCGAGTTTCGTAAAAACTTTCTGCAAATTACTGACATAAATTTCCCTCCCAGTATAAGCCTATTTTAGCCAATTTTAAAACAAAAATTTCCCTCCGTATATAGACTTACATTAAAGCCCCTCCAAGAATCAGCCCCTCAAAAAGGGCCTTTGAAAAATATAAGCCCCGGGGCTTATTTTTGGAATGTTACAATATTCTAAAAAATATTTAAATACGTAGACGCAAAAAAAGCTGATCCTAAATCACACCGTACTAAAGCTTTATAAAAAATAAAAAAACAAA